AACACAATCCTGTTGATGATTGGCTTATGTCTTGGGGCATTTCTGCATGGGTAAAAGAAATTATAAAAACCTGCGTGGTAGTTGTTTTAATAATCATAGTTGTATTGGTTATGGGACCATGTATCCTACAATGTTTGTCAGGACAGATACATAAAATGACAGATGCTGTTTTTGAAAAAAGAGGGGGAGATGTTGGGGGATTAATGGGGGCTATTAAAATGCAGCCCACTTATAGATGATTTCCCTGAAACAAAGAGTTAAGATTAGTCTGTCCTCGGCGTGAGAGCTAGATGGTAGACAGAGTCTCGAAGGATATGCTTCCTGGTAAACAGAGTCATAAAGGATATGTTTCCTGGTTAGGAACAAAGGCTGTGGACACCTGGCTATGAGGTTATCAGGAAACTATATGATATATTTAGTTTTAAGGTATATAATCAATCACTATATGCTTATGATATAACCGCAAGGCAGGAAACCAATGAGAACAATGCTTATCGCTTGGGGCTGGGGTTGGAAACTGTATAAAAGCTGAAGCTGAAAACTAATAAACTGAGCTCTGGTTCCTATTCATAATGAATAGTTGTCCGAGTCTCCATTCTTTTCTGGTATTCAGGCAGTGGCAAAAAGGACCTGAAGGTTTTTGAGGAGGCTCAAGAAATGGTCTGCTGCACCCACAGTGGAAAGCTGCCTCGTCATGCCCCCAACCCACAACAACTCAGTGTCCCTGAGTGTCCTCAGAGTGTCCCTGGTGACATCACCCCAGGAATTCCCATCAGGATTTGGACCAATTTTAATGAAAATTCACAGAAAATTCCCCAAATTTGTATCAAAACCCAAGCAGGGAGGGGAGAAGGGAAAAGTGATGCTAGCAATATTACTGCCTTGATGACATCACTGTTCTTGCAGCAGCATCAGGATGTCTTCGGTGGCTTTTTGGCACCACTCGGCCACCATACGGCCAGCAGGACCATCAGGGCCGCAAAAGAAACTGTCCAAGATTATTCTGATTTGCCCAAGTATCTTCCGCAGGTGACGCGCAGCCAGGCGGGCGCTGACAACCCACAGCCCCTCAGCCTCAGCCACCACGGCTGCCAAGGCCACACAGAAATCAGGGGATGGCTCCCTTGTCTCTGACAGAGCTAACTCGATGTCCCCGAGCTGGCGCTGCAGCTCCTGGAGGAACACGCTGGCTCTGTCACATGTGGCCACCAAGCGCTCCAGCGGCCCCAGGGGCGGCTCTGCCTGCAGTTCCCTCCTGGTGGCCGTGTCCTCCCAGTTGCTGCAGAGCTCGGTGGCCTCCTCGACCAGCCGGGACCAGCTCCCCAAGAGCGTGTCCACAACTCCTGCCAGGTGCTGGCAGCGGCTGTCACATCGGCCCAGGTGGCCTCCAGGTTGGCCTCAAGGCTGGCCACAGCTGGCCCAGGGGTGCAGCCCTGGGGTGGTGCCACCACAGTTGCCCAGTAGGACAATGAATTGGCCCAGGGAAGTGTCATCAAGGTAGCCCAGGGAGGTGACATCAAAGTAGTCCCAGGAGGTGACACAACACTGATTCAGGGTTGCACCGAGGTGATTGTTGAAGGTCTTCAGGGACGCGTGCAGGGACCTTGGGGACCATCCAGCAGCATGCCCCTGTTCGGCACAGTAGCGGTGGCCACCACCTCACCCAGGGTGGCCACTGCAGCCATCAGCACCTCCAGTAGCTAGGGAGGGGACAGAGGAGGTGGCAGGGACCTCGTGGCACTTGTGGCCTCCTGTGGTGGCCTCTGTGCCCTCGTGGGGTCCCCCTTTGTCCCGTCCACCCTCGGTCCCCTCCGCCCCTCAGTCACCTCCCCGCTTCCCATCACGCCCATCCTCTCCTGCCACGTCACCGTCCCCTCTGCCACCCCCGTGTCCCCTCTGTCCCCTCCCGGCCCCCTTGCTCCGGGATTGTCACACCTCGCGGGGCACTCCGGCTACACTCCAGGTACGCTCGGGGAGGCGAATACACTCGTGTGTGCGCTGGGGACACGCCCGAGTGTGGCACGGCTGGGTCAAGACAGGGCGAGGTGACGCCACCGCCCAAGTCTGCCCCGCCTTCGACCGGTTCTGGGGAGTCCTGAGGAAATTTTGGAGGGTCCCAGCTGAGGCTTGGGTGGTCCCAGGTGAGATTTGGGTGGTCCCAGATGAGGTTTGGGGGTCCCACGTGAGAATTCCCAAAGATTTGGGGGTTCCCAGGTGAGAACAACTTGGCCAAGGGGGGAGGGGCTGGGGAGGTTTCGGGGTGTGTCCCATGGGTGAGGGAGGGGTGGTGAGGGTGGGGTCCCAGGGAATTTGGGGGGAGGAGGGGGCAGGACGAAACCCCAGATGTTGACCACGCCCCTTTTAGGCCCCTCCCCTCGCTGCTGGACACGCCCACCGAGCGCCCCGCCCCCTCAGGCCCCGCCCCCCAAATTCCCAGCTCCGCGTTCTGGCACCGCCCCTCCCGAAGCCTCACCCCAAATGAGACTTGGCAATGCCCCCAGTTGGATTTTTATCAATGGAAACCAAAAATTGCCACAAATCGACCCAAAAATACAAACCCGGGGGAGTGGGGGGGGCACAGCCACACTTGTGCTGTCATGGGGGAGGGGCCAGGTGGGATTTTGGGGGTCCCAGGTGGATTTTTGGGGGCTTCCAGTGGGTTTGGGTGGGTCCACGTGTTCCTGGGTGGATCCAGGTAGGTTTTTGGGGATTCCAGGTGGGTTTTGGGGAGTTCAGGTGAGTTGTAGGAGGGCAGGTGTTCCTGGGGGCAGTTCCAGGTGTTCCTGGGTGGGTCCAGGTGGGTTTTTGGGTGGGTCCAGGTGGGTTTTTGGGTGGGTCCAGGTGATCTTTGTGTGAGCTCAGGTGTTTTTTGGGGCTATCCAGGTGTCCTTGAGGGAGGTTCAGGTGTCCCACGGGTCATCCAGGTGTCCCTGAGGCATTTCCAGGTGGTTTTGGGGGTGTCCCAGGTGTTTTTTTGGGGAATCCAGGTGTTCCTAGGGGCTCCCAGTGTGCTCAGGTGGCATCCAGGTGTTCCTGGGAGGGGTCTCAAGTGTCCTGGGGGAAGTTCCAGGTGTTCCTCCATGGATCCAAGCACTTTTAGGGGGATCCAGATGTCCTGGAGGGATCCAGGGGTCCTTGGGGAGGTTCCAGGTGCTTTTTTGGGGGATCCAGGTGTCCTGGGAAGGTCCCTGGACTTCTGGGGGGATACAGAGGTCTTTGAGGGGTTCCAGGTTCATTTTGAGGAGGTCCAGGTGTCCAGGGGAGATCCAGGTGTGTCTGGGCAGGGTGCAGGTGCCCAGGTGTGCTGAGAACTGCTGATCCAGGTGTGCAGGAACCCCAACATCTGGGCAGGCTGGGACTCAGGTGTAAGAGATCCAGGTGTGAGGGATCCAGGTGTGGGGGCTCCATGTGTGAGGGATACAGGTATAAGCAGATCCAGGTGTGAGGGATACAGATGTGAGGGTTCCAAGTGCCCAGGTGTGGGTGGGACCCAATTGTCCAGCTGTGACATCACCTCTCCATTCAGGTGTGGTGTCACCTGGTTATGATGTCACCTCTACCTCAGTGTGACATCACCAGCTCACCTAGCTATGACATCACCTGTCCACACCCCCCTCCTACCCAGGTGTGACATGACCTCTGCCAGCGTGACATCATCCAGATGTGACCTGGATGCAGGCTCACCTGGGTGGAATGTCACCGTCATGTCCAGCTGTCCCCTCCACCCTCACCTGCCCACCCCACCAGGTGTGATGTCACCCCCCCAGTTGTGTCGCCCCCCAGGTGTGATGATGTCACACATGTGACCTCACCCTGAGTCCCCCCATGTCCCATCCCTGCACAGGTGGCTCTGTGTCCCTGCACCCACCCAGGTGTGACATCACCTGTCCACAGCTGTCCCAGGTGTCACTGCACACCTCTCCCGTGCCCCCTGCCCCTTCCCTGTGTCCCTGCTGCCCTGGCACAGGTGGCCCTGTGTCACATGGAGCTGTCCCTGCACCTGCCCAGGTGTGACATCACCTGTGCCCAGGTGTGCCAGGCATCATTTGGGTGTGCAAGGTGTAACTCACATGTGACATTACCTGTGCCCAGGTGTGACATCTCTCCCCAGGTGTGACATCACCTGTGCCCAGGTGTGCCAGGTGTCACTCAGGTATCACTCAGGTGTGTCAGGTGTCACTCAGGTGTCACTCAGGTGTCACTGAGGTGTGCCAGGTGTCACTCAGGTATCACTCAGGTGTGTCAGGCATCACTCAGGTGTGACATCACCTGTGCCCAGGGGTGCCAGGTGTGCCAGGTGTCACTCAGTTATCACTCAGGTGTGTCAGGCATCACTCAGGTGTGACATACCTGTGTCCAGGGGTACCAGGTGTGCCAGGTGTCACTCAGGTATCACTCAGGTGTGACATACCTGTGCCCAGGGGTGCCAGGTGTGCCAGGTGTCACCCAGGTGTCACTCAGGGGTCACTCAGATGTGGCTCAGGTGTCGCTCAGGTGTCACCCAGGTGTCACTCAGGTGTGCCAGCTGTCCCCGCACAGGTGCCCCGGTGCCTGACGAAGCTGTCCCTCCACATGAAGGTGCGCTCGCAGGTGCTGCAGGTGTAGGGCCGCAGCCCGGTGTGGGTTTTCATGTGCTCCGTCAGGTGATGTTTCATCTTGAAGCGCTTGCGGCACTGCGCGCAGGTGAAGGGTCGCAGGTCCAGGTGCATGTTCACGTGCCGCTCGCGCATGCTGCGGTGCGAGAACGCCTTCCCGCAGTGGCACACGAACACCTTGGCCGAGCCGCACGAGCTCACCTGGGCGGCAGGTGAGGGCTGCGAGGGGCCGGGACCCGCCCCCGCCGTGCGGGG